CATTCCGATAACACGATGATACTGAAGTAAAGTGTCTCAGTCGTTTGCAAACAGTCTAATTGACAGACGGTTATCCATGTCGTCGCAAGGCGGATTAAAACAAAGCAAAAATTTTTTACATTCTCAAAAATTTGCATTCACCTAATATTTTAAGACGTCAAAATACATGTGCTTTTTTGCGATGCTAATGGAACTCTGTCAGTTTCATTAGTTTTTGGTAGTCGTTCACTTCGTCCAGCGAATCGGCACTTTTCTAAAATCCCTCCGCTACCGCTGAGGTTTAGGCTTTGCTCCGTAAAGTCAAAATTTCCAAAAAAATCGCAATTTTCATCCCGAAAAATCGAGATTTTCAGCTTCGGAGAATCAAAATTTCTAAAATCGATGTAATTTCTTTTTCACTATTTTCTCAGTTGCATATTTATGCACACCGTTGGCTACGATACTTTTAGATTTGCTGCACCTAAGCTTCCATTTGAAAAAGGCTTTTGAAAAAAATATTGATCCTACTGAAATCCATAAAAAACATAGTTAATCAGCAAGAAAGAATGAGTAACAAAAAAATGTCTTGTAATGTCGAAATTTCACAAAAACGGTCACCAGCCTAAAAATTCAAATTCAAGCTCTGATACCATCTGCTTCTTCGTCGTCATTTACCAGTTCTCCAATCATCTCTTATAATGCCTATAAAATGCCTAGCTGGTTTTTTTTGCGATGACAAGAATCCAAATTTTCTAGCAAGAGCACTACAAGTGAGGTACATCAGTCAAACTTCATACGCCTCGCTTTTTTTAAAGACCAAAAAAGTACTTTTTAGTGAGAGCACCAAATCGTGCATTTTTAAAACTTAAAAGCATTCGACCACACCTCCCTAAAATGGAACTTTCTATCCTAATGTGCATCAAAGCCGAAGCCGTTCTTTTTACCACCTGCTATTTATCTTTTTTGAATTTTGAAACTAAAATGGATAAATCAGCGAGACCCCTATTTCAGCGAACGCAAATGTAGCGGAACATGTGTGGAGACTGCAGAGGTCAGAGGTCAAACAAGTGGTCAGCTGAGTTTCCTCATCCCTTCCGGTTTCGCTGGATGTGCGCCAGTTCACCACCTCCTATTTCCAGTCTGCCTGTATTCTAGTACTATAGCATAGATTATTTGCAGTGCTCATTGTTTGCGCTTTTCGTCCTCGCCCCAGTCTGCGCCCTCATCCATCCATCCTTCACTTGCAAACCTCACTTCCATCTGCCCTGCTTTTGGATAGTTCATTTTTTCTCCTATCACTTTCACCGTCTGCTTTGTCCCTAAACTGTATATTGTATAATAAAAAGGAAGATCCTGGCAGAAGAGGGGTGCTACTATCCGTAACTGTCGGTTTCTTAAGAAGGCGAGAGGAGGGAGCAGCAGCTGTGCTCGAACTGACCCTCAACCCTGTCTCACTCAGCGCAGTTTAACTTCCCTCATCCGCCCCCTGTCGTATTCCAGAAAAACGTCTGCGTTCTTTACCGATTTTACTGCAAATTATTCGTTCATATAATGCCTGTAGCAAATAGCACTATGAGTTCTTTAGTTCTGTTTTTTCATTGCATCCTCAGTACTTTGATACTTTGATCAACTGTTGTTTGTCGTTTCTTCAAACTATTGACATAGCTGATGGCAATTTATCCGTTCTTCTTTATTTTAAGCGTCAACATCCACATAATTCCATATAACTTCCAATGTACTAGTTGTCTTAACCTCGTTTTGATATTTATTGGCTTACCAAATTTTTGTGTTTTTGGCAGCAAGGCTTATGCCAAATTAGAGACCTATATTTTATGACAAGCACACTCATAATTACTAATCGTTGCCTGTAAATCTATTCTAGCCCGAAGCTGATTTTTAGCCTAAAGCGAAAAACACAATAAAACATGATTTCGCTAGTCCTGGCAAAACACAGCTTAAACGTATAGAATTGAGTGAGCCCAACTGCTGACTGTCTGATCATCCTCTGGGCTTGAATTCCATGAAGTAGCTTGCGAGACGAAAACTCTCGAGGAATTAACAAACGGAAACGGAGCTGTATCACGAAACAATTCATTCTTTTCTGAAAAGCTCTTTGTTTCGTAAAAAATTATTTTGTCGAAATATTTTGAATTCATTGCTGATTTCTTTGATAATTTGGTCAGCTGTCGTTTCATCGTACCGTTTTTGTGGCGCCACCAGGTGCAGTGCCCGAGACTACCACGCTCTGTTACTGATTTTTGCACTCGTTTCCTCGTTTTTTCCCTCTTTCTCTGGAGATTTTTTGTCCCTTTTTTGTACGCACAAACCCACCTGGGGCGCGTGGCCAATGATTTGTTTTTTTACTCCCTAGTCCTTTTTATCCCTTTGTTTTTAGTTTTTTTACTAATAGCTTTCTAGTCCTCTTCTGTCATCACTCAATTTACCCTGCGCGTAAAATGCGGTTAAAAACCTTATCCAGGGCGATCTGACTTGGTTGCTCACACCTGCGTAATTTACATCATCGCTTGACTAAAAAAATTTTAAAATTTCTGCGCTATGCTTTCTCCGCAAGCAGCTTATAGATCCAGTGGATCTTCAGCTATGCGCTGACCCAGACATTTTTTGCTGACCTCTGACCCCTACACAGGCTGCATAATTACGAGTGTAGCCTCTCTGTGTCTAATCTTTCCCTCACCGTTTTGGTGGTAATTGTCGACTGCGAAGAAAGCATTATTTGATGTGGACGATCGATTGTAGTACTGCATGACAGAGGTCATTCAGTGTAGAAGAGTGGACATTTGGTCTCATCCTTCAGAATGGGCTAACCATTGACCCCTAGCTACCGATCTTTTTTTCCCACACTTTTGCTAATTTATCACATATTGCAGCAGACAGAACTCGTTTCAGAAAAAGCTCATTAGGTGCAGTTTTTTCTGCTTCCTGCATTCGCACTAGTCGTCTGCTGTGGCCAGATTACTATATGTGACTGGTCGTGACTCAGTGAATCAAAACGCAGCGTTATGGTCCGTTTTTATGAGGCTAAATGTAGCAATACGGTGATGAATCTGGCGTTAATAGTATTTAGCATCGAATGTTTATTTACGGATATTTTTGGCCAAAGTTCACTACTGCATAGATGTAGCTGCACTCACTGACTATAGTATTTCGGATGCATTTTGCAAACCGATTCACCGGACTGTTAGGCGCCTCACTGCTTCGCTTTGTGTTAGCATAAATTATTACGTAATTTTGCGAAACAGTAAGATTGGAGCGTTTCGAAACGATCACTATTACAGAGACCGCTTGAGCAACCAGTGTGGGTATCCCGTTTTAATGATGTTACTGATCTGAAACAGGCTTAGCTATCCTGAACTGCATACCTCCAATTACTATCTGCCACTTATTCGATTTATGTATTGCTGTTTTGATTATACTTTCATTTTAATCAGCCACAATTCACATCGCAGTTCTTTTGCTGTGCAGTTCACAACTTTTCCACTTGCTTCGACCAATACTGCATCTCCTGGTGGTCAGCTTGCTAGCAGTCCTGATGTTCTCTCGTGTTCTCAAGCTTAGGTTTAGATCGTCGTTTTGGAGCACACTTGATGTAAAGTTATAAGGTTAATCTTCCAATTTACGGTTTGGCTCAAAGTGAGCTGTGAAAGGATGCTGCCTGAGCTAGCGGAAGAGGAAGCACTTTAGAAAAACTGGAGAATAGTTGCGAAAATACCAAAATGCGCGTGAAAGAATTGTTGACCTTTAGCGGTCAGTTTTCATGCGTTTTTGCATACATGCAAATACAAAAACGCATATTGTGATTATTATCCATGGTATGCATGTATATGTATGTGTGCGTACGTCTGTCCGGGTATTCCAGCTTGGCAACCACGCCGCGGTACCAACCCTGGGTACCAACCCTCACGCACGCTTGGACGCCGCGTACGACCGCGTGAAGGCTGTCACGGGAAAATCGCAGAGTCGGGAATCAGAAAAGCTGGGAGGTTGGAATTTTCAAATGTTCACAGACCACTTAGAGTTCAAAGGTTTCAAATTCAGCCCCGGGTGTGCGTGTTTCTTAAGAACAGCCCCGTGAATGTTTTTTTTAAAGGGGGAGGTGATCGCTGGCTTGGGAACCAAAAAGGCTAGAAAACTGAAATTTTGAGGGGACGTCTCCCGCCCACGTAGAACTCAAAGTTTTAAAATCCGGCCCCCAGACATACATAGTTCTCATATATGGTCTCGCAAAAGTTTTTTGGGGTGGGAGAGGGGGAGGGAAATCACTAACCGGGAGCCAGAAAAGCTGGGAGGCTGAAATTCTGAGGAAATGTTCCCAGCCCCATACAACTTAAAGTTATCAAATTCAGCCCCCAAGATTGCGTGGTCCTCTTGTACAAACGCGCGAAAATTTTTTGGCGGGAAGAATCGCTAACTCGGTAACCAGGAAAGGTGGAGGGGGAAGGGCTGAAATTTTAACGGAATTTTCCCTGTCCAACTGTCCAAGTATCGCGCAGTTGCACAATTAACTTCCCGAATTTCGAGGACCAATATGTCACAGTTTCTAGCTACTGAGATCTCGCTTCAACACGAAATAGTGCAAAAACGCATTATCACACGGGCTTGTCTGCTGCACGTTGCCAATGATTTTTTCTCTCTTTTATTTCTTTTTCGAACGCCGAAATTTATCTTTTAAAAGAACCATTATGAAGGGACCACTGCAAAAGAATCAAACAGCCGGTTGTGTCCTTCCCCGAATCACTCTTATCAGTTTACTGGAAAGCATTCTCTCCCTATCAGTTCATCGGGGCTATGCCTCTTCCCTTTACCAGTGTAGCCGCTGTCGTTAGCAGTTGCCTGTCGCTATTCTGTATTCATTAGCTTACCCAGACTGTTTTAAATTTTTGTAGCTTTTATTGCTTCGTTACTGAATCCTGCCCTTAACTCAACCCAGCCGTAGGAGCTAGGCTGACGCACGCGCGCGTCGAGTGTCACTCAGTAAAGCAATTTGAAGCATTTGCAGGAAGATGCTGGGATTCCCGTTTATTGCGGATTTCATCCAGAGGGTGAAACCGCTGGAAGTGACTGACTCTGTGGATTTTATGAATTACTACTGCACCACACTGTTACTCGCAATGGCAGCGTTCGCCATCTCAGCAAAACAGTATTTCGGCTCGCCGATTCAGTGCTGGGTACCAATGGAATTCCGAGGTAAGACACTGTTGTGGCCAGGCTGCGAGGATTCTAATACAGTTCTGTTTCAAACAAAGGCCACTTTTGTATTTTAATTTCGTGGCAACTATCACTATACTCAGAATTAGATCTCTCCCACTAGTAGGAAATCCGATTTTTTAACGACCCTCTGAATCGCTAACTGATTAATCCCGTTCATTTTGTATCGATACGAGCGCATGCGAGGGAATCATTACCTTGTTTCTAAGACTCAGAAGAGGAACCCACTAACAGCTTTGTTATATGTGTGATGCTCTTGCTGCTGCATTACCTTCGGATCGCCCCTGTTTGCCCCTGCCCCTTCAGATCAAGTCTGATAAAAAGATATGATTGGCTTTATTTTTTAGGAACAATATGTTTTTTTTAAAACATTAGACGCTGGAATGCTTGTTAGGCGTAAGCGAAATTAATTATAAATTTATAAATTATGAACGATTTCCCAAGAGTACATACTAAGCGAATATGTTAGGAGCAGATATTAGGTAAAAATTAAGTGTACTGAAAATATTAAAGACCTACAGTACGTATGAAAAACTAATAATTTAGTTAAGCCTAAGGCGCTTTGGCCCATTAAGCCATATATGTCTTAACTCACCGTCACGCTTGAAATGGCATAAATTACTGTTATGTAATAAATAAAAGAAATAGATATTAATGCGACAAGAACAAAACAGAGCTCCAAAGTGAAAATTTATGCTAGATAAAAATTTGATGAAATATTTTTGACTTTAGGTCAAAAGTCCTAAAAAATAAGACATATGCCTTCTTTCTGTGTTTGCACCAATAACGTTTCTCGAAATCTGCTGAAACTCGTTGAACAGGCTGAGTTTAAATAGTGTTCTTGGCTCTTCAGTTTTTGCATATTGCTAATTTTCATGTATTTAGGTGGCTGGGAGAAGTACACTGAAGACTATTGCTTTATCCAGAATTCTTATTATGTATCGATGGAGGAGGAGATCCCTAACGAGCTGCACAAACGAAATGATCAGATCAGCTATTATCGGGTATGTGCGAACTGTTCGTTTGGGGATTGAAATTTCTAAGGACATAAAAATTAGCGAAATATAATACACTGTAAACAGAGAACTGGTGCTGCTATCATTTTTTGAAAAAATGGCACTTTAAGTTCATCTGGAACAGCCACCTGCGTATTCGCGTGACTTCTAGTTTGTTTCAACCGCTGAATCAGTAATGTACTGAATTTTAAAGGAAGTGTCACGCAAAAACGCGTGATGCTCGCTGGATTTTGCCGGTATATGCCATATTTGCATAGACCATAGTACCTATACTAGGCATTGTTCTCGTTTCAAGTTGAAAGACGGGCTTAATAGCTTAAGAGCAATATTCGATTTGGACAGCTTTGCTTAAATGAAACAGAAAGACGGAAAGCAGCAAAAGGAGAATTGAAAAATCTATAAAAGTTATTTTATGGAAAAGAAAAAGAAAATAAAACGGAAAATTAATGTTTCAGCTCATAAAGTCGCATACATTCCTTTTCGACATCACTCCGATGGTTGTGGTGTTATAAATTTCCAAAGCTTTTAAATTTCACAAAAAAAGCTTATTGTTTTCTTGCAGTGGGTACCAGTAGTGCAGATGCTGCAAGCGCTAATGTTTTTCGCTCCCAACTATTTCTGGAATGCTTGTTGTAAGCAGACAGGTAACACTTTCGTAGTTCCTTTGCTGACCATCGTCCAATCGGCTTTCCTTCATCACCTTGAGGCATTTATACTAAGAATCCACTATTAAGCAATCCAACCGCAAGCAATCGTGAAAGATGCGAAAAAAATTTCGATGCTGCGTGGAGAGAACAGGAAGGATGAAGTATGCGGACTGGCTGAATATATCAGCGAGACAGTGTCCATTTTCTCAGGGAGACGATTTACGAGATTGGTTAGAATTCACTGTTTAGTTTTTCCTTTTTGACTCTGCATCTAAAGCAGGAGCATTTGCTTCGACGCTGAACTCAGCATCCAGGATCGAACTGGTTTTTGTCTAAATGCTTAACAGACTGTGCAGGACAATTTTTGCGATAACTCAGAACAGGACTTGCGGAACAGAAAGCTGCAATACGAACCAAGGAGGTAGTGAAGGTCGTGGAGGAAAGATAAAAGCAGAATATGAAGTGGCTGCGGGAAACGCACAAAGCGAATGGCGCCTGGAATTTTACAGCTATGGTCTAATTCCAGACCCCAGTCGCCTTCTGCCGTTTGTCTTCGGATGATATGAGCAGAATAAAAAATTTTTAGAAAATGCAGGCAGTCGCTCGTTAATGATCTTTTACGATCATTAAATGGAAAACATTTCCAATCAGGATATCACGATGTTTCCACAAATAATCCACTAAGATTACTACGACTGATAACGACTGCTGCACCTTCGCAGACTGGTTCATCAGTCATCCTCGGCTTCATGGGCCGGTGACGTATGGCTTAATTGAGCTCAACTTCTGCTTAGTGCATGCACACTTTGTTTTCTTGCTGAAATCGGAATATTCGAGGATACAGTTTCTGTCCAGGATGGGTCTGGATGCAAAGAATCCCAAGATATCTAAAATCCGCAGTTACAGTTGCTTTTATTTTGAATTATGA